CTGGTTTATTCTTTCCGAATATAAATAACTCTGCGATACACTAAATCTCAATACTCGCGCTAAAACAACACTGTAACGAACGAACGTTAAGTATAACAATACGTCTATCTCTAACTGCAGTTCAATTACTCATTGACTATCTACACACACATTACCTTACATTCCCGCGTCACGTTTTCCCCTCTTATATATATACCAGCCTACCCTACTAGTAAATACTAGACCATTCGCCAAAGTACATGATAATTCTAGAAACGTTGTGTCACTGTAGTCATGTGACTGCTGACGCAACAGAACGATAACTTCAACAATACCGTGTGACTGCAGTTCAATTACTCACTGTCTATCACACATTACATTCCCCTCTTTTATATACCAGCGTACCCTATTTCTAGTAAGAACTTGAACATTCGCCAAAGTACATGATAGTTCTAGAAACGTTGCGTCACGGTGGTCATGTGACTCGCTGACGCAACACTACTTTCTAATTCTATGGCTTAGATGTTAGTTACTGCGTTTATTAGATGTTTAAATGTTACTTTTAATTACTAACTTTAGGAAGATATTTCTTACACTAGCTTAAATAATCTATTTGTAAAACAACTTTTTGTTATTATTAATGTTGGTCTAACTTTAGTGTACTATTTAATCTTATAATTATAATAATTATAATTATAGAGGGTAACTTTATGAGCTTAGTTTGGAAAGCTTATTCTTCAATTAACCACTAACGCTGATTTCTAATATTTAGCGGTTTCAAAATTATTTCTAAGTATTATTGAGTTTTATGGCTTACCTATAAAGCTGATCACAAAACTTAAACTATTCTAATTTTAAATTTTAACCTTCTAGCCTAAACTTATTCCTATATCTATTTTAAGAAAGTTAAGAACGGTTATACTTGGTAGTCTTGAGAAAGACTTTTTGATAGCAAGTTTTAACAAGTTAAACCTACTGAACTGTGGCTTCCTTACTTGGTCCTCCTTTTGCTGTTCGCTCTGTCTCCGTCCTCCTCTCCTTCTCCAGTCCAATATCTGTAGATAATATATCGTTCACAACAAGTTTAACTCCATAACTTTATACTTATCTGGATAGATTTACGTGGAATTAAAAAAGATTATCTTAATGTAAGTTTCACTTGACGATCTCCAAGTAGAATTGGGCCAAGAAAGTGCGCCTGAATTCAATAGGTAAACTCTCTTTCTTTGTTCAGTCGACAGCCTCACCTTGTGTTCCTTGTCCCCTCACAGCATTGGTCGGCTAAAACATTTAGTTAACGTCAACTAGGCCAGCAAAATATATTAGTGCCAATACTTTCAACCCGAATGCTATTTGTTATTAAAATATCCTCTCGTGCAGAATGAACATTGCCTACTATAGAGAACCCATGAAACAAAGCAACTAGAACACGGCAACCTCAATTACTTTCTGGACTGCATGCTTATGTTAAGTCTGCACAGAAACTGGATAATTTTTTTTTTCTAATTACCATATAACTAAACCATATAGAAAACATATGATATGTCTACATACCATATATATATTCTCATTGATTTCCTTAAAGTTTTTTCGTTTTATTTATTTTTAAGTAAGAAAACAGGACTGCTAAACAAGTTAATTTTCATATGAATAAACTGGAGTTATCGAAATTAATTTAATTTTCAACAGCGCGTGGTTTCTTCTGTGTTTAAATAATTACTTGATCATGCACATATTCTAAACTTTTACAAATTATTTTGAAATTGATTTTTGTAGACTTTGCAAGAATGTTTAGGGTTACTGTTGCCTTTTGTTTGTTGATAAATAAGATTCGCTCTGTTTGTGTGCTCGAGTGGCCACGAGTCGACTTCTTATATTCTTTACTACGAGCACAATCTGTTATCTTTCATGTATGTATTTGATAAACAACTGGATCTACTATATTTTCGCATAGAAAAGTTTTAGTACTCGTTGTCTCTGTACCAAGCAGTGCTCTGTGTTAGACTCACGTGTTGGGGGGTGGTACTTGGGTCCATAATATTAATAATGGAGTTAAATTTATACTATTTCATTGTTTTTCAATTTCCTCTTCTGAGTTTAACAAACGATCTTTATAATGACAACGTTTTGAAATATGATGCGAATATGTTTCTAGTTCAAATTGGAACAAAACCTCATTTTGTTCAATTTTTCGCTCCATGGTAAGTGAAAACTAAACTATTATTACTGTTTACTAACAAATAAACATTATATTTTATCAGTAGGCCAAATGTTTACGAAGTACAAATACCAGAAAATGAAATATTATTACTACTATAATAGTACTAGTAATACTAGACTAACTTACTAATAATTTATGGAAACAATTCCATTATTAATACTAATACTATTAGTAATAGTAATAATCACAATTCTAAGAATGAGATCCAGTGAGTGTCACTGTTCCTTCGCATTTCAAAAATATTATTATTTTTTTACTTTTATGTATAGCATTTACAAGATATTAAATGAGCGTAACTTAATAGTTAATTAGAGTTATTTTAGACCTAGACTAGAGTGCTGAAGAAGTTGATATGTGTGATTTATAAATTAAAGTAGCATTTCTGCCAAATTCTGGTATTAGTAATACATAGTACACGTATAGCCCAGTGGTCGGCAACTTTTTTTTATCGCGGGTCAATTATATTTTTTTTGAAAAATTTAGTATTGTGTTGGGTCAGTGATAAGCATATAATTATTAATACTGGTACATGTATTTTAAATGTGTATGTTTATTTACATACAAAAAAAAATTAATAGTTCGACCAGTTTGATATTTTTCCCTGAAATTGATTTCAAAATTCTCCGTAGCTGTGACTCTTTCCTTTAATATCGTTGTTCTTCTCACATAGCCAAGAAACTTGAACTGAACAATGATTGTACCCTTACGGGTTGCAATGGTGAAGCCAACTTTTGGCGGGTCAGCCAAATTATTGCTGCGGGTCAAATAGTGACCAGCGGGTCATAGGTTGCCAACCACTGGTATAGCCTATAGAACTAGGTAGGTAATTACTTGATGGTGCACATATTTCAAACTTTAACAAATTATTATGAAATTGATTTTAGTAGACTTTGCATGAATTTTTAGGAATAAAACTTGTCACAAGAGTTAATGGTGTTAAATCTGATAAGTTGGAAGATTTACAGAATTATGTGAAAGCTAATGAGCATTATTTTTGAGTTTGAGTGGGGGCAAATCTTGAAAACTGCCTGCACATAAGATTGCTCCACCTCTATTTTTCTACACAGAAAGGTGACCCACCCTTTAGTTCTCCACAAAAATATACCTCCCACCTCTAAAAACAGAGATAATTACCAGTTATATACTGAGCTAGTTTACTCAGTTTGTGAAATTATGTTTTATAGGCAGTTATTCTGTATCTAAGTCTTAACTTCTGAGATGATTTTGATACAATACAGCAGAAAAATGTTTTCAAATTTAAGCATATTTATTCTTGATGCAGTGAGTATTATTTGGATGTCAAGGGATATTCAGCAGCACACTGATTTAAAAATAAAGAAAAAATGTATTTTCCAGGCTCAGCATTTATAGTCTTATTTAACAGATTGCAACTAAAATCATGACTCTTGGCCATACATGTCTACCATGTTAATTGACCATATTTTAAAAATGATTAGTATGTCAGCTATAAAGTATACAGTCATAACTGATCTTTTCTTTAATTTCATTTCTTTATACATAAACAATATAACTTAACATTTAAGAATAAAAAGCTAGAATGTAGCCCTGATTATTTAAGTAGTTATTAAGCTTCCCCATAATCACTCTTAAATTTACTGTGCCCACCACGCCCAAAGGACAACCATTCTGTAAGAAAAGCTTAACTGTCATAGCTGAAGATGGCTCCTCTGACAAAAATTTATATTTGTGTCCCCTTATCTTACCATTAACTGAGAAAACAAAAAAGATGTATGAATACTATCAATTCCTATAACAATCTTAAACATCTAAGTCAGATCCTTATTAACTCTTCAAGAAAAAAGCAGTGTCAAGAGATCTGCCCTTGTATAATAATCCTTCCATCTCGGGTTTCATCTTACTTATTCCTAGTAGCTGTTTTTTGTTATATAAACTGTTGATGCAGTGGGTATTATATCTACTGGCACAAGCCATCCTAAACTGTATTAAACAAGCATCTACCATCTAATAGTTTATGTATATTATTTGTAGTGAAACTGTTTGATAGCTCAGAAAGAAAGAGTTGCAGGGCCACTTAGGTTCCATTGATCCTGTAATCAACAAACTGCCATAACCTTAAATAATTGAGTGATGAATATACAATTAAGTGAATACACTATACTTTCATTCATTACTACCTTATATCTTGGAAAGCAAGGGCTACAACATCTTTTCAGCTGAGCTCTTTGAACTAATTTAATTTTCAGTTGAACAAACTGATATTATAACTACTGGCACCAGCAGTCTTAGCTTTGTGGTAATCATGTGGAAATCACACAAGGTAGTTTATGAATTATATACAGAATATTGTTTTCTGTTAGGCAAAGTCTGTAGAATCTCATGCCTCCAAACTCTCAGGACCACTTGCTGTAATGACAGTGCATCACACCTGACTGCCTGTATCAGTTCCATAAGTTACATGCATCCTTGCTATAGTCTTTCTCGATCTGAGCAGATCATGCTTATATTGCTGTACAGCAAGGATTGCCTTTGCTAAATCTGGCTCCTTTGGTTCCTCTACCCAGAGCTCGTAAAGCATAATTCATGTTGTATCCACTAGGGGAATTTCCTACTGTATGGTTTGTTGTCATTATAGCAAAATGGTCTTAACTTCGACATAGTGTCCAGGATCTGAACATTCTATGAATGGACAGGGCCATCTCACAATATGGTGAGACAATCCATCAATACTTCTCTTGTGAGTTTGGCTGATAATGTGTGATTAAATCATATTTATGCAAAACTGTTACCTAACATGCTATCATCCTTTTATGGTTTTTAAAGTTTACTAACCACTTCAGCAATGCATGGTTCTTTCAAACAGTGAACTTTTTGCCTTACAAGTATTGCTAAAAGTGTTTTACTTAGACAACAACTACAAGTAGTTCTTTCTTCATTGTATGGTATTTAGGTTCATGAGCCATGAGTCTATGACTAGCATAAATGATTACATGTTCTACTCATCCTGTAACTGCAGTAAGAATACTATGATTTCACTCTCACTGGCATCGGTGTCTAGCTGTAATTCACAATCTTTTTGTGGATATGCCAAGATTGTTGGTTTTACTAAAGCACACTTCAGGAATTAAGTGTTTGCTTGTATTCCTTACTTCATCTAAAGTGTATCTGCCTTAGTAAGAGTCAGTAATGGTTATCTTAGAGAAGTTGGCCACAAAAAGTCGTCAATACAAGATGAAACTATGGCAATTGTAGACTTCTCATTTGGTCACAGGTTTTGGTCAATCTTGCCTTCTTGTAGTTCAGCAGAATCCATGAAGATTCCTTTTCTACTCACATTATGACTGAGAAAATTTCACTTCCATCATTGAGACAAATCAGGTACTTCTCCCATTGCAGCCCTTCCATTAGTCTTGAAAGTGGTGATTGTGTTACACAGTCTGAAAGGTATGACATGAAACCTGTTGCAAGCTATCTTTCAGTAAAAAGTCTTACATCTGCTCTCATCATCCAGTTCAACTTGCCAGTATCTGGATGTACAACAAATGTACAACGTTTCGACAAGGTTTTGTCATAATCAGGTACCCATTCAAGCCGTCTCCAACCATTACTTGTCTGACTATTGTTCAACCTAATTGGACATCTGGTCATCCCATAAATACACTGCTGTATTCTGCTAACAAATCATTGAGCTGCTGCTGCTGTATTGAGTCTAGATTATCTGCATAATTATCAGCTAGTAATCTCGGATGTGTTGCTATCCATTTATTTACTTTCCAACTTGCCACAATAAATGTAAGACTGGAATTAGTGCTAGCATTGGTTACTTCCAATTGCATACCATCCACTGATCATTCCAGCTTGCAGCTGGATAACTGATCATCCATAGTTGCAGAAAAACACTGTGGTGTTATCCCTATTTGAACAAATAACTGCTTTTCATAATGCTGTGTAACTGTGTTGCACAGCCCTATTGCACTAAACATGAGTAAACACTGTAGTAAACCACAGAACAACACTTGTGTATATGTTTGTACTGTGACTTCCTCCCCCACATATATTCTTGCAGTCCACTGTTCCTGGGGTCACTTTTTGCCAATGTTGGATAGTGGTAGAACGTAAGGCTTCATGATGCAGAAGCCTTTACTGGATCCTCTGTATTCATCTGTTCAAGCCAAGTTTGTGTACCAGACCCTAAATCCAATGTTCCTAATTGTGCAATTTACCCATAGCAACTCACATATGTGAGTTCATAATTTCTAAGTATTATGTAAAGTACCACTGAAGGACATCCTTGCACAATGTGCAGTATTGCAGCAATACCACACCTCCCTGGGCAGAGTAGTATTATTCTCTCAAGAATAAGAAAGGGGTGAAGGTAGCTAGAATGAAATCAGCTTGATGGATTTTCTGATCACAAGCTTTGTGAAACCTGTAAATACATAGAACAAAGAATAAACTCAGAATAAATAATATTACAAGAAGATAGTAATGCATGATACATTAATATATACCACGTATCTATCAAAAATCATGACAAGAATAATTATGAGTTTTATTGCGTGAAACATAGTAAAATTAATTTACAAAAAGAATTACTGTAGTTAGTGTTATCTTGTGAAAATTTGTAGGGAGAAACCCTCCTAAATTTGTGAAGGTCAAGTTATTGAAAAACTTAAACCAGTTTTCAGGTATTATCCAAAAGATACCTGATGATGACAAAACCTTGTTGAAACGTTGTACATTTGCTGTTATGTTAAACATATATTAAAGTTTTTCTTCATTACCCATTCAAGCCGTCTCCAACCAATATTAGTCTCAAAGTGGGTTCCTCGTCATCGAATTTGAAACCCTCAGAATGATATTAGTCTTCTGTTAAGCTTGTTATAGGTTTCTTACTATGTTGCATAAATCTTCATGTACAACAGTTTAGGATTAAAAAATAACTTAATTTTTGTACTTCAAAATTTTGTCATATTAAATGAAAGGTAGCTCAAAAATCTC